ATCCCCAGAACTTATAACTGAAAGTTTGTACCCTTTGATCAATATCTCCTGATTTCCCCCATTCCCCAGCCCTTGGCAACCATTTTATCCTTTGGTCCTATGAGTTCAACTTTTTAGATACCACATACAAGTGAGATCACACAGTATTTGCCTTTCTGTGTCTGGCTTATTTCCCTTAGAAAATGTCCTCCAGGTTCACCCATGCTGCCAAAAAATGGCAGGATTTTCTTTTTTAAGGCTGAATAATATTCCTCTGTGTGTGTGTATACATATGTGTATCTCACATTTTCTTTATCCATTCATCCATTAATGAACACTTATGGTGTTTCCATATCTTGGCTATGTGGATAATGCTACAGTGAACATGGGAGTACAGATATCTCTTTAACATACTGAGTTCATTTCATTTGGATACCCAGAAGTGGGATTGGGATCATATGGTAATGGTAATTACCATGGTAATTCTATTTTTAATTTTTTGAGGAAACTCCATACTGTTTTCTATAATGGTTATACCAATTTACATTCCCACTAACAGTCTGTACACACAGGTTCCCTTTTCTCCTCAATCTCGCCATCACCTGTTATCTCTTATCTTTTTGATAACAGCCATCCTAAACAGGTGTGAAGTGGTATCTCATTGTGGTTCGGATTTACATTTCCCTGATGATTAGTGATGCTGAGCACATTTTCATATACCTGTTGGCCATTTGTATGTCTTCTTTGGAAAAATGTCTATTCATGTCCTTTGACAATATTTAAATTGGGTTGCTTCTTTGCAATTGAGTTGTATGAACTCCTTATATATTTTAGACATTAACCAAGTATACAGTTTGCAAATATTTTCTCCCATTCTGTAGGTTACCTTTTCATTTTGTTTCCTTTGCTATGAAGAAGCTTTTTAGTTTGAGGTAGTCCCATTCGTTTTTGCATTTTCTGCCTTTGCTTTTGGTGTCATATCTAAAAAAATCACAACCAAGACCAATGTCAAAGAGCTTTTTCCCTATGTTTTCCTCTAGGAGTCTATTGCTTCAGGTCTTACATTTAAGTCTTCAATCTGTTCTAAGTTAATTTTTGTGTATGGCATAAGGGTCTAATTTCATTCTTTCGCATGTGGATAACTAGTTTTCCCAAGACTACATGGTAATTCACAAAACTGAATACTACGCATGTGAAAATGAATGAATTACAGCTACCCACAATAAATGGGTAAACCACCCCTCTTCTGGAGGTGAGCCTGGGTGCAGATGCAGAATTTTCTGGTAAGGTGGCTTGAAGCAGAGATAGCTGGGACAATGGTCTTTGCTTTCTCTCTGAAGTAAGTGCTGCCCCCTTCCGGAAGTGAAGAGGGAATGATGTGATGTGATTGACAGGTGCTTTGGGCAATGGGAGAAGGCATAAAAGATTGCATTTAAGAATGTATATAACAAAACACGGGAATTCCCTGGCAGACCAGTGGTTAGGACTTGGCAATTCACTGTCGGGGCCTGGGTTTGATCCCTGGTCTGGGAACTAAGATCCCACAAGACACATAGCGCAGCCAAAGAGGGGAAAAGAAAAGGAATGTATATAACAAAACAGAAACAGACTCACAGATATAGAGAACAAAGTAGTGGTTATCAGTGAAGGAAGGGAAGGGGGAAGGGACAAAATAGGGGTATGGGATTAAGAGATCCAAACTGCTATGTATAAAATAAATAAGCAACAAGGATGTATTGTACAGCACAGAGAAATACAGCCACTTGTAATAACTTTAAATGGAGTATAATCTATAAAAATATTGCATCAATATGTTGTATACCTGAAACTAATATAATATTATAAATCAACTATACTTCAATTTAAAAAAATCAAAAAATAAAAGTAGAACCTAGGATAACCACCCCACCTCCCAAAAAAGAAGGGCAACTTTTAGCATCACCAATTCGTGCACTAACCCATTGTGGTACGTTGCAACAGAAAAAAATGGCCACAAATTCTTTGCAGCTCCTTCTATCAAGATGGAGAGGCTATTTCCTCATCCCTGAATCTGGGCTGGCCTGCTTTGGTCAACAGAATGTGATGTAAGTGATATTGTGCAATTTCTGAGCCTAGACCTCAAGTGGCCTTGCAGCTTCTGCTCTCAAGGGGCACAGTGGGGAGAGTACATTTCCAGAAATAATGACCAACACCAGGTATCACCTAATGCTAAGTGAACAATATAGAGAAGGCATAGCTAGAGTTTAAAATAAGGTTGGCAAATTCAGGGGAGGTTTTCTGTAGGAGGTGAGAGAGCTGAGCCTGGGTGTTTGAGATGGTGGAGAAAAGCGAGAGGATGGGGAGTGGAGGGGGAGCGGGCTCAAAGGCCCACAGGAGAGGAGGGTGTGGGTGTCTGAAAGGCAGTGGGCAGTCAGCCAAACTGGAGTGGAGAGCTGTTCTTGGAGAGCACTGGGCAAGAAAGCCTGCGTTATTCTGCAGCCAATGGCTGCCAATGACTTATGAGTAGAGGAAGCTGATCATATAGGTCCAGTTTTCCTAAGAGTTTTCACAAAAAAAGAAGTCTGGAAGAAACAATCACTCTGGGCCCAACCTCCTAATATCTTAAGCACTTTTTCCCTCTGTTGTCAGCCGTCTCCCCATGCTGTTGTCCTCACTCCCTGCCTCTAAGGGATCATTTCCATCAGTGTTTGTATCCATTCACAACTCATCTTGTAAACAGCTGAAAACACAGAACAGCTTAGGCACGAAAGGAGTTGATTAGCCCAGGTGACTGATGAGTTAGCACAGACCTGGCTTCCCGTGCTCACACCTGTCATCTGGTCTGTTTCTCTTCACTGCCCACTTCTGCCCCCTACCGTTCAGCTTCATTCTCTCATTCTCAGTCCCTCTTTGGTGGCCCCAGCAGCAGCGGGCTCTTCCAACAAGGGGGAAATATGACCCATCCCCCCATGTCAGTCTTGCAGGAAAGAACGAGACTTTTTCCCTTAGCTCCAGCAAAACCCCTAAGATTACTAAGACTGGACTAGCGTAGGTGACCCATCCATCCTGGAGACAATCAGTGTGGCCAAAGGGATGTGTTGCTCTGGGTGACCAGCCCTGAGTCAAGAGCAGGATATCCATGTTCTAGAAAGTAAGTCAAGACTGGAACTTTTATCTGTTTAACTTGAGAGTGTACAGCTCTAAATAACCCATCCCCTCATCTCTCGTCCTCCGTGCAGCCCTAGAAGCCAGTGGATCTACACACCACGTATCAGTTGGGTTGTCTGATGGCCGTGGACACTGCTCGGGGCATAGTGCGGCACTGGAACACACAGGTGGCCCCTGCACTCCCTCCACACACCAGTGGCCTCATTACAATTGGTGGCCCATGAAGTGGGGGGGGCCTGGCTGGGGGCCCCCACACCATGGTGGTGCCTGGGCACCCACTTCACCACCTTTCTTCTGTCCATCTTTATGCAACGACTGGCAGGGATCTGGGCAGCTGTGGCTGCACTGCTGGCCTGGGAGCCCTGAACCCTGATGGTCATCGAACTGGCCAACACTGGCTACAAGTCCATGTACAGCAGCAACTGGTTCACCCTCCAGGTGAACGCGCTCCTCTGAGCTGCCTTTGCTGACCATGTGGCCTTCGTGGACGCCTGGGAAATGACCTCCAGCCTGGCCCTGCGTGACAGCATCCACCCGGAGAGGCTCATCGTTCACAACAAGGTGGACTTCCTCCTTTCTTTCCTCTTCCCAACCTGAGTGCTTCTGTCCATCCTGGGGCTGTGTGAACAGAGGGCCCAAGCTTGGGGACCCAGTTGTGAAGAGGACCACAGCCACAATAGAACTTCTGGGATAAGGGCAGGTGCCATCAAGCTCTCTCACCTGGAAGACCGCAATGGCTTTCGATCTAGTCCAGCCCATTCTATTGTTGCCCCACTCCAACCCCTTCTCCACTCAGAACAAGAGTGGTTATTTTAAGACATAAATGAGACCAGGTCAACGGCCTGGTCTTTTTTATCAGTATAAAGCCAAAACCTTCTATCTTAGGACAAATCCAAAGCCCTGACCATGGTTACCAAGGCCTTGCAAGATGTCGCTGCCCAACTCTGTAGGCTCATTTATTGTCACTCTGCCCCAGCGCTCTGCAACCCAACCCCAAGGTCCTCTTGCTGCTCACGTAGGTCAAGCCTGCCTCAGAGCCTTTATACCTGCTGTTCCAGTGCCTGGAATGCCCCTCTCCCAGACCTCCATGTGGCCAGCTTTTTCTCATTCAGTTCTCTCATCAAACATCACCTCGGAGGCTTTTCCTGACCACTCTCCCACCCCAGTACTCTATACCCTTCTCACTCTGCTTTTTCTGCATATCAGTAATCAGAACCCGTAATTATTTAGTTTACTACTATTATTATTTACCTGTCTCCTTGAGTTTGTCTGGCTTGCTCACTGCTGTATCCCCGTGACCTCGAGCCGTGCTTGAGACATTGCAGGTGTGTTAAGCAGCATTCATTGAACGAATTAATAACTTAAAGTCAGATGACTAGAATACCTGTCTGCCCTGCACCTTCTCTCAGCAAGCTGCTTCCTCTGAGAAACAGGCGATGTATCGCCAAAGTGTCTCTTTGTTGCATTTGCTGGATTATATCTGTATGATTATCACTATGAACGCTTCACATTTACATTTAGGGCAGTATGATTATTTTTCTTTTTTCTTTTTTATTGGAGGATAGTTGAAGGGCAGTATGATTTTCAATGCAGTTTCTACTTTTAGTTTGGAAGACTCTCCCAAGAACATTCTGCCATTTTACTAATGAAGCCCGAGAGGTGGCACACAGCTGAGCCAGTCCTTGGTCCTAGTGATACTGGTGACAGCTGTGGCAAAAGTACTCTGTCCTCGCTGGAAAACTGGCCTCCTGCAAGGGCTGGAAGTGACAACCCATGACTCCTCTCTGACACATCCTCTCGTGTCCTGGACGTCAGTTTCTTGTCTGGGGGTGGGGGACTGGGGTCCCTGAAAAGAATCCGGTCAAGACTGGGGTTTATTGGTGCACTGTGGGCTCCTTGTCTCCGATCACGAGATCTGGCCGTCTGTTCCCCAGATCCTCTGTCTCTGGCGCCGAGGCTTCCCTGATCACCCTAAAGGGGGCTCCGTGACCAGGCACGACCACGTCGGCAGTGCCTAGGACCCTCTTCCGGCTGTGCTCCTGGGACACCGGGTCTTCGCTCAGCGCCTGCCACGAGTCCTCGTCCCCTTCACGTTCAAACACATCGCCCACTACCATGACGGTACCCAGGGCCGTGCCAGCCACCACCACGCTCACGTCCCGCTGGCCACCATGGCCGGGCGTGGCCCACACCTCGAGTCCCGGTCCCAACCGCAGAGGCTGCTCCTCAGCCAGCCCGTGGGGGAGGTAGCGGCCCCCGGGGAGGCAAAAGTCGTGCGAGACCAGCAGGGCCGCCGCGGGAAACAGCCCCAGGTTCCCGATGTGGTCCGAGTGTCCATGGGTCCCCACCACCAGAGTCACATCTCCCGGGGCCACGCCCTGCCCCGCCAGGGCCCCCAAGAGCGCCTCTCGAGCCCAGGGCCCCGCGGTGTCCACGAGGATGGGGCCACGGGCCGCCTCCTCCAGGGCGGTCTTCGCCTCGTAGCCCTCGGGCGGGGGTTCTCGGTGGCCGGAGGCCGGGCCCCAGGCCTGGGGCAGAACAAGGGTCACGGAGCCGTCGGCGCGCACGGCGTCGCCGACCCCCTCGGGCTCCGCGTAGCCCTGCAGCAGAAACACCACAGAAAAGGCGTCGCCGGGCACCCGCAGAGGAGGCTCCCCGCGCAGCGGCTCGGTGCGCACTACACCGCTCATGGCCGGCGAGGGACGGGCTGGGGAAAGGAAGTGGGGCCTTTGGCGACTGTCCGCTCCCTTCGGGTTTCCACACTCGCCCAGCCTCCGCGGAGTGAATCTCAGTTCCTTGCCACCCCTCTCACACCCTTAAGTTGGCACCGCCCAACTGAACTTAGGCGAGAATGCACTCGTCCCTCAGCGTCTTCGGCCACCACCCCGCTCGCGTGTGAGGTCCTCAACCGCCACCCTCTGGAGATAACCTTGTTATTTTCTTCATTCTAACCGGAGCCGCTCTCTACCTTGGACATAGTTTTAGCTCCTCTTAGGTCTTGCCTCACTCTGAGGAAAGAAGAGACACCAGAAAAGCGCGTGGGAGTTTGTCCTCTGCGAGCTCCCGTCACCCAAGTATGGCGGCCCAGGCGTCGCCGCGCACGTAACTTAATTCCGTCGCGTTTTCAGGCATGCGCGGACCGCGGCTGCGCAGTCCTAAGCCTGAAACCTGTTTCAGCGCGCTGATCCGTGCCACCCTCCTTGGGCTGAAAAACTACAAAGCACCGTTAGCTATTAACAGGACGGCGACCAACGGCCCTATTCACTGGGCGCTGCCGTACCGGCCAGCTAGGATGTGTGCACGGCAGTTGTTTGAAATTTGGGGCCCAGCTGATATTTAAAAAAAAGTTTACTAGCGTTATAGAAAATTTGGCATCTTTGATATTACGTGGTGGCCCTGCAGTGAAATTAATATGAAGTAGACCAAGTGTCTACCCCACCTAACTTATCAGTATTACCCCATCCCCATCCAGTGTCCCCTTCCCGTTCACAGACTCCTAGACGCCGGCAGCGTGTATAGGTCGTAGAGAGAATGTGCATTCAGCTTGTTATGAGTCTAAAAACAGACCCTCGAGGGGCAAAGTGACTTTGCCAAGGTCCACCGCTTCTAAGCCATGTTGACCTCTGGGTCCGGTGGGGAGTAGCGGACATATTTAAATATCTCAATACTGTCACCACACACACCTGACAAGGGGATAAATGGCAGGTGGAGGACTCATCTGTCGGTGTCAGGCTTCCACCTACTGCTCCCACCTTTCTCCCCATAGCCATGCCATGCTGCACCACCAGGATCCTGCCTGAGACTACACGGGAGAGAAGAGCTGCAGGCTCTAGGGTGGGGTCACTCACACATACACACACTCTGAAAGCTGTGGGGCAGGGAGAGCTCAGACTTCAGAGGGCTCTTCTCCAAGACCCCTGTCCCTCCTGGGGGCTCAAAGGCAAAGGTCAGAGTTCCTCTGGGTCATGCTTGGGGTGGCCTGGTGTGTTAGTCACCTCCTCCTCCTCCTCTTCTGTCTTCTCTTGCCCATCTGTGATCTTCTCCTTTCCAGTCCAAGTTTCCTGTAGACATGCTAGGTTGGGTGATAGAAAACAATTTAGATATTGGTCCTGGGGAGAGGGCAGGTTGTGAGCTGGCAAGAAAGGGGCCAGCCGCCAGGCTTACCGGTTTCAGTAGCTCGGAGCACATGACCCTCACAGAGAAAATGCTGTAGGGGCTGCTCCTGATGGTGGAAATACCAGTCTCCCACGACGTCTTCAAACTTCTCCAGCATCGTCTCACACTGATCAGGTGGAAAGGTCAGAAGGGTATCTGCTCTGCTGGCCTCTGCAGACCCTCCTCTCTGCTCTTCACTCCCTGTCTCCCCACCCCACTTCGAAAAGGCAGGGAACCAGGAGGTTAAACTTGGCCTATTAGATGTGTGATCCTCATTCATTCAACAGACATTTACCAGCACCTACTCTGCCAAGTAAGTTATTATACTCTGAGTCTCAGTTCCTTGCCTGTAAAATGGGAAGTGGTAATAGTACCTACCATATCAGGTTGTTGTGAGGGTAAAATGAAGCAGCAGCTGGAAAGTTTGTGGCCCCAAATTGGGCACACAGTAGGTGCTCAGTAAGTGGCAGTATATATCATTAGCCTCCATTATTACTTCTTTTCTTTTTGCGGTACGTGGGCCTCTCACCGCTGTGGCCTCTCCCGTTGCGGAGCACAGGCTCCGGACGCACAGGCCCAGCAGCCATGGCTCACGGGCCCAGCCACTCCGCGGCACGTGGGATCCTCCCAGACCGGGGCACGAACCCGTGTCCCCTGCATCGGCAGGCGGACTCTCAACCACTGCGCCACCAGGGAAGCCCCATTATTACTTCTTGATATGCTCCTGGGCCCACTTCAGTCAATGGCAGAGTCCCTGCTCTGCTCAAAGATGGACCTCCTTAGGATCTAGCTCCCCTCTCAGGTTCCCTTCTCACCTTCCTGGGCAGTGCAGTATTCTATCCTACCTGCTTCTTGAGGAACGTGACCTCCACGCTGGGCTCATCCCACAGCTCCAAAGGGATCCCCAGATCCACCTTCACCCCCTTCTGCACCAGGCCTTTCAGCGTTGCCATGGTCTGACTCTGCCCCTGAGAGATGGGAATTTGAGATCAGCCCAGGCCACTGCCCTGCCTCCTCCCCTTTTTGCCATATCAGCTTTGTCAACTACTGGAGACCCCGGTGAGTTCCATAGAGATGAGATAAGGGAGTCTACGATGGGGAGGGGACACTCCAGAGCTGCGGCGAGCTGGGCAGACATCGTGAGGACCTCAGGGGGTACAGGTTGTAGTTTCTGAGAGATGGGATTCTGCCCTGGAGAAGAGTCTGACCTTGGCATATCTCAGTGAGCCCTTGCGCTCGGCATGAACACTGTAGTCCAGGATCCGCTCACATAAATTCTCCAAGGCCTCTTCCAGCCTTGTCTCTCTGTGGGAAGAGGGGAAACAAAGACTCCCTGGATGCTGTGGGCGCTTCCAGGGCTCCTTCGGGGATTGGAAGGTGGAAGAACACCAAGAAGAACTCACGAAACACTGTAAGGGATGTGTCTCTTCCTCTTGCCTGTGTCCAGCACCTGCCCCAGCTCCAGCACCTCTCGAGATCGGCCAGTGCGACTCAGCTCGTCCTGTAGCTCCAGGCTCAGCAGTTTACATACTAGATGTCCAAGGGGACGTGAAAGACAAACAAACAAAGCAGCACTCATTCGGCAGATAAGCAAAGGCAGCAGAGCACAATGGTTATGGGTGCAGGCTCTGGAGCCAGCCTGGCAAGGCTGGAATCCTGACTCAGCCACTTAGTAGCTGGGTGACAATCCTGCTGTGCTTTGGTTTCTTCACCTCTAAAATGAAGATAATAATAGTACCTCCCTCACAGGGGTGTGGTGAGGATTAAATCAATCAATATGTAAAGCCCCGAGAATAGTGCCTGGCACGTGGTGAGCACTGCCTAAGTGTTTGCTGTTTTCTGCAGTTATTTGTTGAGCCCCTTCTGGATGCACAATAGCAATACAGAGAGTAATAAGACCCATGATCTATCCACAGGACATTGCCAATGTCTCTGGGGATAGATAAAAAGGTGATGACAATATTGTGTAATGGACTCTATCCAGAGACTTAATCTCACTATGCAAATGCAAATGCAAAATTCATTCAATGGTCATTCATGGACTTCCTACTAGCCTGCGATTTCCTCAAGGATGAGCATTGTGTCTCTTCCACCACTGTCTTCCCAGCACCAGTGGGTCCCAAGAAAAGGACAGGCCTATACAGAAATGCCAAGCAAACTAAACACAGGGGCAAGGAGCAAAAGTGTCCCAAATGTGCCTATGGCACTATGCTAAGGATACACAGGGAGACACAGGTACTCTCCTTCCCTCCAATGCAGTGGGAGGTGACAGATAAGGAAGGAGGCTTCCAAAGGACGTGACATTTAAACTGGGTCTTGAAGAACCAAATACAGAAGGGCAAGGATCATTCCAGGCAAAGGAAAAAAACAATGTGCAAAGGCAGAGAGGTGTGAGAGGATGCGGCAGGCTCAGTGACCACTGAGAGGTTCAATATGGCTGAAGCATGGGCACTTTGGGGATGGGAGGTGGGGTATGGAAATGTAAGAAAGATGGAGGCCAGACCACAAACACTTGGATGCTATGCCAAAAACGTTGGCTGTAGTCTAATCACAGCAGGAGGCCTGAAGAGGTTTTAAAGCAAAAGGACATACACAACTGAGTCTGTGTTTATAAAAACTGACAGGTGTAGGGGGTTAAGAGTAGGGACACAAATGAAAGGAGAGGAGAGATGAGGACCAAGTCAGGAGGAACATTGCTACTGAAATGCAGCGTAGAGTGAGGCAAAGGGGAAAAGAATCCAGGAAGAAATTAAAGCCAGGGAGGCAACAAACCAGGGGACCAGGGCACTCTGAAGTGCCCCCTCCCAGATAGGCCCCATAGGTGATACAGTCACAGAAGATGCTGCTCACGGTAAAATCCATACAGTGCACACCCTCTGCAAAACCTCACAATTATGGGGAACCTCTCCCAGTTGTGTGGCCTCCTCTTTCTTTTATGAGCTTCAAGGGCTGACGTACTCACTCCCAAACCCCTCAGGAGGGCGTGGGGCCTATAATTTGGGAGCGTCTCCGCTGGGGTGGAGCAGAGGATGTCCACAGGTAATGAGCCTGACACCTCACTCCTGCAGTCTCTTCAGATTTAGGTCTGGTGGCATGGAGGACACACACACACACACACACACACACACACACACACACACACACACACACGCGCACACACACACACACACACACAGACACA